CACTTTCAGAATTTGATGGAGATCTTTTCATTAGCACTGATATGTCTAACTTTTTGTATATATTAAATGTAGCCATGGCAACTATCTGATTATCCTTATTATAATATCTATATTATATAAGCTACATTATTTTCATCTAGTTTTCTCTCAAGGTTGGTCATATTTGCATGCCTGTCCCTTTCTTTCTGTGCTAGCATTTAGACTCAGCCTAGACACTGGGCATCATGAACAGACCCTTGCCAGGCATTGCATATCCTCATATTCTGGTACATAGTCTAAACCTTTGCTGTGGCATTTGGTTTCTTTAGTTGGAAATCATTCGTAGTTTTTCTTCCAAGATGTCTTAGATAGAACTGTACCTAACCAAGAACTATTTTTTCCCTTCACTCATGAAACAAATTTTCTGAAGCGCTGTCAATGTCCTGACGAACAGAACTCATGCTCAAATGAATCCCACAATCTATATCCTGCCGTCCTATCAGGTATTTTCTGCTTCTACCTTCTGGAAACTCGTTCATGTAAATGTGCTTAGCAACTTTCAGAACACCCAGAAAAGACTCTTTATAGATGTCTTGGTTTCTTTCCTTTCAGCCATTGCCTCTTCCTCTCCCTCAGTTATCCTCTGAATTCTCCTATCAGGACTTTTCAGCTCTGGCTTCTCACGAGGTCACCCAAGCTCCCTTCTCTTCTTCCATCCCCATGATATGGTCTATACCAGTGGTTCTCAACCTGTGCTTCATGATGGGGATTAAACAACCTTTTCCAGGAGTCATCTAAGAGCACTGGAAAACACATATACAAATAGAGCTAAAGGATATGATGTTACGTGAAAGCTCTGGCTATAGAGCATAGGTTCTGTGAGCTCTTTCGTGTGTGGCAGAAACAGAAGAAAGGGGTCTGACAGAGGAGTGGTGACAATTAGAGGCTGGGGAAGGGGAGGGTAGGATGGAGAAAACAGAGAATTCATTTTGTTGAAAAGGACAGGATGTCATTTCCCCTTATGACTGCGTACTACACCATCAGGAATATGCACATTTCTCTCTCTTCCTTTTTTCTCTTTCCCTCCTCTCCTTCCTCTTCCTCTTTTCATCATTCTCCTTCAAAAAGCAGATTTGAATATGTGTGCTTTTGTGCCTGTGTGTGTGTGTCTGTGTGTGTTTATGTGTGTGTGTATGTGTGCATGTGTGTATGTGTGTGTCCCTGTGCGTGTGTGCATGTGTGTATATTTCTAATATAATATTTCTAACGTATATTCCTTTTACCACAACTTTCATATAAGATGCTACAGGAAAGCATTTAAATTCCACAGAGGTGTGTAGTGCTTTCCTCTCCAAAAGTGCCTCTCTAGAACATCATTTAAACATCTTCCACATTCAACAAAAGAAAACTCATTTTCCAAATGACACGATGAATCACTGTCTTGTGAAACATTTGGCTTTTCTATAAAAAGTACATTATATTCATTTTGTCCTTGCTAGATCACTGGTATCATTACTTATGCTATTCCCTGGGAGTTGGGGGAAACGGGATTTTATCAAAGTGATTTACTTGTGTCAGGCCTGGAAGTGAGCTGAAAGCAGTAGCAGTTCTTATATAAAGGACAGCCTAATTGTATTACTGCCTTTTAAGTGATTGAACACAGTGGTGCATATCAGACCCATCTCCTCAGAGAAGCTACAAAGAGTAGACAGCCCATGATATTTATTTTATAGTGAATCCCTGTTTGCAGCAGAAAGAAAGGAGCAAAGACTGTTTAGCCTGAGAAACTTTCAGAAGGGTTCTTAAGACATAATCCCATGAAGAGTGAGGAGCTCAGCTAGTGGATGAATGATTCACATATGATAAACTTGTTCTGTAATGCTCAGTTCTGCTGTATCATAGTATGAGAGACTGTACTTTCCACTCAACTTGCCTTGGATTTACCTGCATACCACTGTGGACCAGCAGTGTTTCTAGCATCTAATGCTAAACTTATCTAAGCTAGAGGATGCCCTCTTTGCTTTAGTTGGCCTTTGGTGGATTTCTTCTGACTGCTCAGTAACTGTCAAGTCTGAGAACAAGTGTCAGAGACACAAGCAGACAGAGATGTCAGGACAGAGAGCAGAGGTAAGGATTCAGTTCTCCCAGGATAGTGTTCATAAGCCTGCAAATCATTCGTTCCAAGGAAGTTTTCAGAGTTTCAGAAAGCAAAGCCAGCACACTCTGCTGGAAATGGAAATAGTTTCCTTCATCCTTGACAGTAAAAAGCTTATTTCTCAATGCTCAGAAACCTAAAACCTTCCCCTTTCCTCCCTTTCGAAACTCTTTGTATTCCTGTTCTTCTGAACACACTCTCTTGGTCTGCACTGGCCAGCTTAAGGGAAAGCACATTTGCAAGATCCACTCCTGCATCAGCTTCCTGGAAAACAATGGAGGGGACAGAGCCTGGCTCTGGAGGATTCAGAGTGAAATGCCTCCGAGTCACCTGAACACATTCTCAAAATGCAGACTGTCCAGCTCTGCCCAAGGGCTTCAGGTTCATCTATATGGGGTGTGGCCTGAGCATGTGCTGTAGTCCCATGTGGTGCAGGTGTCAATGGCTGGAACCACATGGCAAAGCACTGCCCTGGGCAGCCTTCGGGAATGTTTGCTCAGTGCTTAACCTGAAGCCCAGCTCACCAGCTTGTCCCTCAGCTTGTCCCCCAGCTTGTTCTCCAGCTTGTCCCCATAGGCTTGACAAATTATTTCACTATTCTATGTCAATTTCTCTGAAATGAAGATTTTAATGTGATGTCACTGCTGATGTTATTTCTAGATTATGTGAGTGAGTTAATACACATCTACCTTGGTACCTGACTCAAGGGTACTCAATAAATATGTAGAGATTTGAAAATTATGTTTAATTTCAAGACTGTGCTCTAAAAACTAAATGTAAGCAAACTTATTTTAGATAAAACTGATTTCTGAGTTCGAGGCTAGCCTGGTCTACAGAGTGAGTTCCAGAACAGCCAGGGCTACACAGAAAAACCCTGTCTTGAAAAACGGGAAAAAAAAAAAAAAAGACTACACATGGTACAAACTCCACAAAGAATGGTGTTTCCAGGGTGGGCAATGCTATAAAGAAAGTGCATGTGGTTTGCAGGACTGGGTGAAACACGAAGGGGAGAGAATGCCTGCCAATGGGCACAGGGATCTTTCTGAGGTAATAGGAACATTCTAAACTTAGTATTGTGCTAATGGGTGCCCTAGCCTATGATATGTCAAAGGTGTCGAATTTCATGACACGTCTAGCCTCTATAGCTTTCCATGCCTTGTTGAAATTTATTTTTCCATAACTTATAAGTCAGAAAGAAAATTAAGAAAATTTTAATTTGAGTCTTTCTCTTTTAAATATAGACTTGCTTCCCCCCCCCAAAAAAAAACCAGTGTGTTCAGAGAGAAAAGGTCAAACACATTAAAATCGATCTAACTTATAGGAAACAAAATATTTAAAATCTTGTTCATTAACTCATCCTTTATCTGTCTCATTAAGTCTTTATAAATAACTTCTTGTCACAATATTTTACTAGAGATTTATGCCAATACATTGTAAATTATAATATATCAATATCTGTAGCTTCCATAAAGCATTTAATAAATGAAAATCTTGAGATAATACAATTTGAGACATATTATAAACCATTAATTTTAATCTGAGAACTGAAATATATTATGTAATCCATTCTGGATAAACAAATAACTCTAAATTCATCTTTTAAAAAGCTTTTAGACTTGATTTTTATGTATTTGACTAAATCTTATTAGGTTTTGTTTTCCTTAGTGATATATATTTCTAGTTCTATATTCTCATTAACAACTTAAATAAGTAAAGGAACCACTCACTGAAAAGCACATGAGCTATATGTTGTTACATTTCATTAGATCCCAGCTTACAGGGGATCGCTACATTTCCTTAGATGCCTAGAAGAAATCTCTTAGGCTAAGTTCAAAGAACTCGACCTATAAATAATCCTGATAAACCCTTAGGCATACTTAGTTGAAGATGTTGCAACCATTTTGCCATACGATTTGTAAAATATAATTGCAATACAACCAAAATACAAATGAAAGATTAAGGGAATTGGCGAACTAAGATACAAACCATATCAATGTTATTTGCCAGGGTAAGGTTACATTTGTTTTCTCCCGGTCACAACTGGGTCCCTCCTTTAAAAAAGGAAAGCATGACATATTCCCTTCGGCCCAAATCTATCCCATTGGGTTTCTTTCAAGATCTAAGGAAGATAAGAAAAGTAATTCTGTTGGCTACTCAGCTAACAACTGTTAGGTTGAATTAGTCAGCTTATAGCATGCACGGCCTTTTCAGGAGCCCTGAGTGGCAGAGTCCTCTCTTTCTCAGAGCTGGACAGTACTAGGGAGAAAGCGCAGACATAAACAAGCAAGCACAGCCAAGGATGATGAAGACAGAGATGAACTAAGAGAACACAACCGTACTGCAGAAAGTCTCAGCTGCAGGGAAAATGACTATATGTCTAAAAGGGCACAAGGGTATTTTCTTTAAGGAAATATCTCTAGTGTGGGACAGCCAGAAAGACTTCAGAGTTTTGCATTCATTCAGTTCCCCTCTAAGCTCCCAAGAAATGGTTCACATGCCAGAGAACTGGACGAGTTCTATGGAGAGAAGACATCTTTGTAATCCTCAGATTTCTTCACCCCTGACTGTCCTGCCACCTCTAAATTCATCAGCCTCACTTCCAACAATGGAAAAAAGTGAACGGGAAAATGCATGAGAACTTAGTGTGGGGAGAGCCCTGGACTGTCCTCAAAGGGCAACTCATCGGCAGGAAGCTTGGTGTACGGAAGAGTGAGCAAGAGGTTTCAGAACTGATGTCACCATCCCCTCTCTGTGTCACATCTATGGGTAAAAGATAGAGAGACACAATAGGTGCAGAGAGTCCTTGTCTGAAAATTCTACCCACACATCAGAGAGAAACGAGAGTGAAAGAAAGGAGGGGATTTTCTAATTGTCTGATGGTGTATGAATGTTTTCAGTACTTATTTCATGCTTTCATTTATATCAATTCTTCAAAGACCCTCGAGCCCTTGGTCCTCTGAAAGGCAGAGAAAGGCAGATGCCATCTTCCTTTATGTTTCTCTGCTATAAAGGAGTAAGTACTTGAGGCTGAGTTCTCCATAAAGAAAAGATATTCATCTGCCTCATGGCTTTAAGAAAAGAAACATGCAAGATTCATGCTTACTTTCCTAGAGCCAAGATCAAATCCATCTGGAGAGAGCCTCATGCTGTTTCTTAATTTGGCAGATGACATCAAGTGACAGTCTCATCTGTTAGTGACAAGGGTATATCCAGAAGAAAAAGAGGCCACAACATGGTAAAGAAAGCAAGAAAATATGCCAAGGAAGACAGGTTTATTTTGTAAACTCTCACTCTTGAGGTAGGTAACCTAAACTTTCCAGAACAAAACCTCATTCCCTAGAGAAAAAAAACACCATTAATCCCTCTTGATGATATAGTAACTCTGTGACCTCTCAAAGACACCAAATCCCAACACATTGAAGATATGTCACACAGCAAACCATATATAACATAACAAACCTATATTTCAGTTATTCATAACTGAGGTACAAGATTAGAAAAGAGGCAAAAATAACACAAATCTTTAAAATGTTCACAAGGTCTTTTAAGTGCACAACTCCACACTGTCACTTTCTCACCCCATCCTTGTCATATTCATCCAGCCCTTGTCATCGTCTAGACAGAGCCACAAGTGATAAAATGATCCTAATTCTATCTTCACTGCCAATGTGAACAGACATCCTGCAGATGTGGACAGACATCTGCTAGCATCACCATCTGGACTTCAGAATAAAGCAAGACTTTTATCGTTTAACTCAGATGAAAAGAAAGACAAGCCTGGAGTATTGGCATGTGTCTGTATTACCAGCATTCAGAAGCCAGGGCAAAAAGGATGAGGTTAAAGGCTACTGTAAGGAGATCCTGTCTCAAAAAGGGGTCAGGGGAAGAGAAAGGGGGAAAAAGTCACCTGAAGGAGATATAATTGCTTGGTGGGAAGTCACATTGTTGTCAACATTCCATAACCCCTTAGAACCATGCCAAATAGCTAATTATGTTTATCTGTGGGTTTTATGTTATGTATTTAACTCTGCAGCTGTAGCAAAGAAGAAGCCACATTGAACGTATACACTAAAAAAACATGACTGTGTTTCAACAAAAATTACTACATCTCACTGAGTTTGTGTCCAAGCCTTACATTAGAAAGTTTTATTCAAGATGCAGGAGGTCTTAAAATCATTTTTCTGAAATTCTCAATGTGGCTTTTAAAGCAACATGGTAATATACATTTATGTATTTAACATCCTGCCCCAGTTCCATGTCAAGAGAAGCCCAGAATGTGAAGGAGAGTGCTGATTACATACTTGTGTATTTCATTCACAAATAGAAAAAGAACGGAGATGTCCACCCATGTGCCATTCACCAGTATAAAGAGGAAGGCTACCTGAGATCAACAAACCAGAAACCTGTGGTCCAGTTCATCTAAGCCCCTGCTTAGATTAGTTGATGGGAAGAATTCCCACACTCCTGAAGTCTAAAGGAAGCAAGACCAGCAAGGTCACAGTGTACTTGGTACCCTGAAGGGTACCATCCATGACCCAGATCACGACTGTCTCACTTAGCTGGGAGTGGCTGGAGATTGGCACAAAGGACCTCAGCTGCTAAGGTGATAGGAGAGCCACACGGATGCAAAGGCTGCTTCCACCAGAGGGATCCAACTCACTACAACGCACAGAATCACTTTCCACGTTGCAGAAATGACAATGAATTCATTGCCTTTCTTCATTCTCAGCTTGAAGAGTTAACCAGTTACCACATGTTTTTACTCAGAATTCATTTCGGTTTCTAACATTAAACAAACATTTTAGCCTATAAATGAGATTGAAGAGGAGACATTATAAAACATTCAACAATCTAAGAAAGAAAATTACTAGTAAAACATAGCAAGATTTTTTTTTGAGGTATGTTTGCTGTGAACTATAGGAAGACGCCGTTTAAAACCACTAGCTTGTACTTTTTAGCTTTGACATTTATGAAAATTAGGTGAATAAAACAGGGGTGAGGATCCACAAAATGGGGACATTTTGAACATGCTAATTATTTGGAAATAATAAAATAGCAATCATCACATTTTATAGAAAGTCAGTAGAAACTGTCAACAGAGTATTAAATATCCAGAAAGTAGAACACAAATTAGAAGATTGATAAATTCCGCCAAGAGCCAGAACAAAGAAATGAAGAGACAGAGGAATAGGAAAAAGACCAGGGGTCGCTGTGTGCACAGCATAAGGATTAGAAGGTCTGAAGGGACCTTTGGACACCAAAAGCAGCCACAAGAAGGAGAAAAGAGAAAGAATGAATTTCTTCCTGAGCTTAATTAAAACTCTTAAATAAGAGCTGGAGAGCTATGCCTCAGCAGTTAAGAGCACTATTCTTCCAGTGGTCCTGAGTTCAATTCCCAGCAACTGCATGGTGGCTCACAACCATCTGTAATGGGATATGCCTTCTTCTGGTGTGTCTGAAGACAGCAACTATGAACTCACATACATAAAATAAATAAATAAATCTTTTAAAACAAACTTTAACAACCCCAAAACATTATTAATCATATTTAAATGCTTACAACGGGCAGATATTTGGTACCATGTCTGAATTTTATAGTTAAAGAAATACTTTAGAAACATATATAGAAAGAAACAGGTAACCTCTCTATAACTAAAAACATAAGTTTGGCATTAGTATTCATCCCATTATCTATAAAAGCTAGATGATAATAGTGCTGTGTAACAATTTCCTGAGGTAAAACATTTCATTCTGGAAGAAAACTCATTAAGATGCGTGGTGCTCTAAAGGACATGAATCATTCTATCCTACAGGGAAGCTCTATAAAACCCAGGAAGTAAACAACTCATATGCTTCAGGAAGTCCTTAAAACTGACTAGATGCACTAGGCTCCCCTTTCCCCAATCTTCTATAAGCTGTAAGGACTGCTGGGAGATGTTCTCCAATAAGCTGAGGTGAGGTTTTCATGATGCCGCTGTCATTGACTCATTTCTACTCCTAAACGTAACTCCTTCACCTATACTCCTATAAGTAACCAATAAAATCATTAATTATCCAAGTCGGACTTCATTTATATCCTTACTTTCTTATCAGCTCTTGATCTGAGATGAGAAGACTCCAGAAACAACGTCACCCAGCATACAATTACAGAAGGAAGATTGAAAAAGTTCAAGGAAAATACTGTGACCTTTATCAAGTTTATACATAACAACAAGCATACTAGAACTCCTATTATGGCTTAGATTTTTAAAAGTCTCAAAGGCTGATGTGACAACAATTTAGCTCCAGCTACTATTGTAATTGGAAGTTTAAAAGATCATAAGAATCCTGTTTTCATAAATGGATAGTCCATTGAGGAGTTTCGAGCTGAATGGGTCACTATGGTGAAGCCTCAGTGAAAGAAGTAGGTCACTGGGGGAGTGTTTTTAAAGGGTACACCTTGCCCTTTGCCTTCATGAGAACCATGAGGTATGAAAGGAGCCTCCTCTGCCACACAGTCTCACAGCCATGACACACAGTCCCACAGCCATGGCACACAGTCCCACAGCCATGGCACACAGTCTCACAGTCATGACACACAGTGTCTTCACCTTAGATCCAAAGTGAAATAGCCTGCCAACCACAGTCTGAAATACCTGAAACTGAACTAAAAATCAGTCCCTACCCATGTAAGTGCTCCTGGGTACTTTGTTACAGAAACATAAATCAATAACACAATGCATGAAGAAGATAACACGCACACATGGCCTTCAGGAACCAATTGTTGTATGTTTGCTAGCAACTTGGAGTCAAAAGAATCCACCTCCAATTGCTGGAGAAAGAATGGAAGCAATTAGTGTGAGAAGAGCTCAGACTGCGATGATTGTGCCTAATGTTTTACAAAGACAAGGAAGGCAAGAACGCTATGGGGATAAAAATCTTGCAGACCATGTAAATAAAGATCACTGGTTGATGAAGGCTAGTGTAAGGAAGATTCCGTTTCCCATTTTCTAGGATAAGAGAGTTTATAGTTTCATTCACACTCAAAACAGTGAAGTATCGATTTCACAATTGTTTTATTCTAGAATTTAAGGGTGATGATCTTATATTTAAAGGTAATTGTTACTGAAGATCAATGATCATTAGAGAGGGGAGTTTGTGGAGAGAAGTCTGTGCACCATGTAGTAAACAACAGCAGTTTCAGGCTTTGCCTTCCACGTGGGACTCTGTTTTATACAGTGGAACTTGATCCATTCTGAGCCCAAGGGCTAAGGCAGCTGTCTCTGTACCACCATTGCCACCACTGGTCTAGCACAACCATGCAGCATAGACTGAATAAACAGCTACAGAAACAAAAAATTTACCACTTATAGTGCTAATGGGTTAACTTACGGACATGCAACAAATCAGACCATGTCAAAGAAATCAAGTCTGTGAGATTGCCATGCACATGAGAGCAATGCACTCAACTGAAACATTTAAAATAGGGTGTACAACCGTGGCAAGGCAGCACCAGTCAGACACCAGATTGCCTAGTATATGTATCATGGAACATCCAGGCATGAACTCCTAAGGACAAGGCTGGAAACACCTCAGCAGTTAAGAGCACGTACTATGCTTGCCTTGAACCCCGTTTCAGTTCCCAGCACCCATATCAGGAGACTCACAGTCACCTGTAGCTCCCGTTCCATGGACTCTGACACCCTCTTCTGACTTTGCAGTCACCTGCATGCATGTACACTCAGGTGAGCATGCACACACACAAACATACTCAGTCACCATAAATAAGTCTTTAATAAAAATCTGGGTGCATTCCCAGACTTCAGTTCAGTGGTCTGTGCCTACTTGATGTTGTCCACTGGAAACTACCTGTTCTCTAAACCTGTTCCAGAAAACACAAAACACATGCACACACACACACACACACACACACACTTTCTATCTGTTAACAGTTTTCATCTGACAGTTCCTAAGTTGACAATACCTCACCTGACAACCCTCACCTGACAGTCCTTCACCTGACAACCCTCACCTGACAGTCCCTCACCTGACGTCTCCTCACAGGGAAGCCCCTTACCTGGCAGTTCTGCTCCTGAACAGCCTGGCTGGGTTTAACAACTCTTATAGGACCATCTTCCATTATATAACTCTTTCAACTCTGCATTCACTTTCAGCAAGGTTCTGTTGAGTCTTAAGGCCACGTTAACACTTCCTTCACTACTCTCTCACTTGAACATCATTGTATGAAGTATAATATGTGACCTGATTGTTAGCGATATTGTTCATTAAGGTTAGAGTAGAATAAAGAACTTGTGTTTGCCCCATAAGTTAACTCAAGACTGGAGACTTAAAGCCTG